GCAGGTCTCTGCTTGTAGATAAATATGATTGATAATAAACATTATGCATTATGTGTGTATGCTATTGAAAACAACCGAGGCCAATATAATGAGACCACAGAGCGTTGACAGGGAGGATTAAGGAAATATTTATCATTGTGTAACTCCGCTCATGTAGGTGTTTATTCAATTAGCGAAATGTTTTTTGAGAGAGTTATTTTCGTTGAATAAAAGCTTTTATCTCGTTATATACTTCCTATATTAAAAATACTATACCTCTTTCGGGACTTCTGAATACAAAACCGCAGTAAAATTCGGTTTTAATTCATTTGCGATTTCAGTATTCGCGTACCATTATTTACTCTGCACTACCTTTGGCTGACTGGTAGAGAATGCCTTAGGCATGCATTAGGCAATGTAGATTTTACATGAAGTGTTGTAATAAATAAATAAATAAAAATATAAATAAATCAATTGCGAAACACAAATCTCGAATGTGTGCCTTTACATACACACGTAGGTAACACATTGCATAAGGATCTAATCGTTCGAATTCATAACTAGGAACCGTTTTAACGATCCAATCATATTATGAATAGTACATTGGAGCACATGCATAATATTATGGAGACATGCATTTCTCTTAGATTGAGAAATAATTTATTACCTCGTTGATTTATTTCTGATTTATTTCTAAATGTCTTTCGGTATATGACAACAGAATGCACAGCCAAGGTGGGTTGTGCGAAAATAGTGGAAAGTGAATAGAATAGTCGAAGCAATTGAGACTTCGGCATTATATCTAAATCCATTTTGTATAGAAACCGACGGGGCGCCTAACACAAGATATTTACTAACTTAAAAACGTTAAAGTAACTTGGAAATTTGGACTTGGTCTTAACACGTTTTTTTTAATTTTGTAAAGGTTTTATTATTATTATTCGAAACGCTAATCTAAATAAAGAAAGACAGATGATGTGATGACCCACCTAAATGATTATCGGATCCGATAAATATTACTGGCATCCGCCTTGACCTATTTAGTCTGAAGTTTCAGTTAGAATAGTATAATGAATATCTTATCCATCAAACCGGAGTCCGTGACAGCATCACAAATAAGCAGATCCGGGGCAACAGCACTACAGGCTATCAATACGCCTAATCACTCGTGCTGTTAGCGTTGCAATTTTTTCTGAAAATTCTATGGAACAAACGAACAGTTAAATATCTTCTTTTCTTAAAAAACGTATACACCTGGCCGACTATTAAGTTAAAAAAAATCGGTTGTCTGTAAAGTTGGTTTACTGATGATATTTGAACGTGACAACGTCATAAGAAAATATTGATGGAATGGTTTCATTCATGTCCACGCGAATGCATCGCTCACTCAAATAGGAAAGAGACAGATGTCGAACGCTGCCGAACGCGGAGGCCGCTTGTGCCTCTTTGTCGCTCGTTGCGCGCTCTCACTTGCACTTCAAGCCTTAAATGGAACGCCTCAGAGCGAGGTAACGCCGCATGAGTCATATTTTTTCGTGCGTGCAGCCGGCTCAATCGAATTATAAGACGTTGTCACGTCAGAATAATCAAAAACCTTCATAACATTATTTAATAATTTTAAAGATATTTTACTTGTTCATATATTTATTTTATCCCTTCGTTACTTACTATTGTAATTAATACTTCGTTACCCGATACAGCCTTAAGCGATAAAACTTCTCTAGAGTTTCATATATGCAGGATACTAGAGGGTCATATAATATGTAGGGTTTAAGTAAGCCTATGCACGAAGTTGCCCTACAGGATCAGACATCCGTACGTCTTATGGATCGATACGATTACGTTGTATTTGTCATCTGGGGATATATTTTTTCTATGCGGATACTCATGAATATGTCAAACATGTTCACGGTCGACTTCCACCAATTTTAGCTATATTCAATTACTTGATAGCGCAGCACCTAGTGCTTTTACTGATGTGTCGTGAGTCGCGGATTCGATTCCCGTATCGGGCAAGCATTATGTGACAAAAACCTGTAACTATATTCAAAATACACATATAGAAGTTTGTAATATGATTTTTTACATATAAGGCAGAAGGGCCGACATCTTCATTATCTTCTGACATTGTGGGCGTTAGTGGGTAGTCGTGCAATGAATTTCAGTTTCAACTACATTTATGCACAAAGGTACATTTTTGTTTGGTAAATACACTATGTAGCACAGTTTTTAAATTCAAAATAACGCGCAGCACGAAACTGTGTGACACTTCCGAGACGTCTTCACTCTTCCTAAGTCAGGCAAGGAATGTGCTTCGTTTTGACTATATAACTATATAATCAAAGGTGCTTCGATTCAACCTGGGCGATGACACATCAATCCCATTAACTGAAGTAAGCCGATGTTTCACGAGTAGTTATGGCCCGCATTCACTCCGTGGCGCACTTTCGTTTTGTTGATCCGGATGCGACATATACATATGTATGTTAGTTTCTGGCACCCATAGAGTCCTCGCTTGGAACTAAATGGCCGTGTCTGTCTTAAGAGAAGTTATTCCTCAGTAATTTTTTTTTAGTTTAGTTATTATTATTTATTATTATAATCATTTTAAAACTAGGTATCCTTCGCGCAGGCGGAAGTAAAACGAACTTTTGAAACTCGAAAGGATTTCTCAACATCTATACTTAGTACCTACTAGTTTCAATCGTGTTATGTTTGTGCAACTTCGCAACTACATATGCTAATAAATGTTTAATTGTCAAATACATGCTGATGTAATTAATACCTGAATTAGTAATAAAAAACTGGAGCTTGTAAAACAAAATCTGTCTTCTTCAGTGCGATTTTCGCGACTGCACATTAACGATTCTCGTTTTATTCACTTGTGTGATTTAATATCAATTCAATTGATTTAAATTAAGCTGTCGACCGTTACGTAAAAGTCAAATCGGTTTCGACTTTCATTTAATACGATATGCAGATTTAAGATTTCTTTATGATAGAACGTGTTAGAGACACGCCTAACGGTGAATACCCCTCGGAATGAATACCGGGTTATTTGCAATGCCATACCAGCAGCCTCTCTGGTCTAATGGGTGAGGCTCACGGCGTGCTCGTAACAATTAATGCGACTACATATACGACGTTCATATATTGGAGATATGTACCAATTTTACTAAGTTCATAAATACGCTTCAAATAGTTACAACGGAGATCTGGATGCGTAGAACCGAAGATCGGGTTCAGTGGCGAGCTTTGGGGGACGCCTATGTCCAGCAGTGGACTGCCGCAGGCTGATGATGATGATGAGTTACAATGGCTGCCCCACCCTTCAAACCGAAACGCATTACTGCTTCACGGCAGAAATAAGCGCAGTAACTATACTGAGACCTTAGAACTTATATCTCAAGGTGTGTGGCGCATTTACGTTGTAGATGTCTATGGGCTCCAGTAACCACTTAACACTAGGTGGGTTGTGAGCTCGTCCACAAAACGGAGCAATAAAAAAAAAGGTGTTTACTAATGGCTTTAGCGATGAAGGAATAAAATGAAACATTAATTTGTTAGGCTGTCCGTAGCAGTTATGTCGGACTTGAAACTCATAGCAAGGGATCGCAAGGGACGGGCTGCATTCACTTCGCTGTGCCTATGGGCTCAGATAACCACATAACTTCAGGTGGGTCGAGAGTTTGTCTGAACATTTACATCAATCCAAAAAGTGATCGTTGCACACCTGACTGCAATAATTATGTAATATGCAATTACTCCGGCAAAATAAAAGAATGTAGAACAATAAATTATGAAAAACTCGATGCAAAAGATTTCAACGCGCTACAAAAGCAGTTGTCCATTGATGTGATATGTTTTTTTGATCGAAATAAATAAAACAAATAAACGAAACATATTATTACTTATTAACAAAACCAACCTTCAAAGATATAGCTCTGCATAAATTATAATCTGTATCAACAATGTTAATTAACAAGGACTTCAGACAGAACGAACATCCGCCGACATCTCATTGTCTCATTATCTGATCACAGGTCCCTATAAGAAGCGGTCTAGAACAAACATCACTTCAATCGTATTTTATAGTTATCGACGTTTTCGTTCCGTGCTCGATATGAAGTTTGTGTGTTTTAAGGCGAGTTTCACAATCATTTGTTAAATCTATTGCTAAGTAGTGTTTTCAATCACGCCGGCTATTTTTTTTATTTTTTATTGCTTAGATGTGTGGACGAGCTCACAGCCCACCTGGTGTTAAGTGGTTACTGGAGCCCATAGACATCTACAACGTAAATGCGTCATCCACCTTGAGATATAAGTTCAAAGGTCTCAAGTATAATTACAACGGCTGCCCCACCCTTCAAACCCAAACGCATTACTGTTTCACGGCAGAAATAGGCGGGGCGGTGGTACCTACCCGTGCGGACTCACGAGAGGTCCTACCACCAATCAATTGTCCTCTCCTGAACATATGTAGGTCTTTTCCAAGGTTCACCATAACGACCATATGTTGCCCGCATCCAGCCAGTTTCCACGACCTCCAACAGGCCGGTCCACTTAATGGGAGTCCTACTAACTGTCGTCTACTAAATTAATAAAATCCAGTATTCCACAAAAGGTTTTGTTAATTTTAAATCATATTAGTGTGATCATGGTCAACTCACAACGGAATGAGTCCACTTTGTAGGATGGGACTCCTTTTTTTATTGCCCTTGTAGGCAGACGTGTATGCGGCCCATCTGATGGTGAGTGGTTACGGTCGCCCTTGGACTTCAGCAATGCCAGGGGCAGAGCCAAGCCGCTGCCTACAATACTTTTACGATGTGATGTCTATGGACGGCTGATCAGGAGGGCTGAAGCTCGTTCACCCACCTACGCAATACAAATTGTTTTGAATCTCAATTCGCAATGACTATAACATCTGAAAATAAATATTAGTTGCAATTTTTTTTTTTTCAGATCCTATATTTGTTCAGTACTTTATTACCTTCAAAATGTTCTGCATTGCCGATGTCACAACACGCAACATCATCTCAGAGCATCGTATTTAATCCAGCGCAAATCACATCCACAGCTGCTTCGCGTAATATTTTATTATAACTTAATATTTCTTGCACGTTTATAAAGCACACGGTATAAATCTCGAAAATAGCTTAAAGGCGAAAGTGGAACCTTGTTAGCAGAGCAAAATTAGCTTTAATGAAACAACTATAAAGGGTACATTTGTTTCGAAAGTAAATCGAAGAACCGCCCTTATGGATCTGATAAGATAATCTTCGTTAAAGAAATGTAATAATACAAGAACCACGAGCTCAAGGTAAGCGTCGGCATTGACTTTGTGAGTCTCGCAGTGGGTCAATAAGCCTGCTTTCGACTTTGACTAAGAATGAACTGTTACGCAAAAGTGTAATTTTACATATTTTAAGTACTACTAGTCAAGGTATAGAAAATGTTGATTGCTTGGTCAAAAATCAAAGAGATGTACAACATGGTAAATGTATGTACATATGTGTATAAGTTATGTATACAATAGCAAATTAAGATAAAATAATATTACATAAAAACATTAATCATCTTTATGGACGTTGAAAAGGTATTATTTTTGATTGATTTGGCCATATCTTTTCAGAATTTGCATGGATGAAAATGGTTGACTGGACAAAATGTTCCCTATTTGTTAATAAATTTTTTTTCTAATTTTAAATCGCACTACAATTCCAGATTCGATCAAAGATAGATTATGAATTGTTTTTGCGTTTATTACTTCTGTTTCATCTATATATTAACACGTGAAGCAAAAACTTTGTATTCCTTTTTACGAAAATTGCGCGGACGGAGGAGTATGAAATTTTCCACACTTATAGAGATTACAGAGAAGAAGTGCACAATGCTATTTTTTTTTTTAAATAATGCATAAAATATACATTAAATCAATAAAGAAAACATTACACACACTACATACCATATATTTGACGCACACACGCATGCATACTATTTATTGTCAAACTTTTGTTCTTGACGTCTGTTGTCAAATTGAGATTAAATATTGTTTATCTTTGTTAATATTTTTATAGTGTAGTCATGGCGAAATTTGTGATTATAGAAGTATAAAATACAATCATAATAGTGTACAAGCTTACAATTCCAATTAATTATAGTCGAATTTCGACTACTGCGGGACCTCTAGTTCTGTATTAAATAGATTACATTTAAGAATCTCTTTTTTTTATTTCAGCAAAAATTACAGAAGAAAATGATCCGCAGAATGTATGTACGTTTTATTTATTTATTATTATAAAAACAGTATGAGCATTCATTATCTTATATTTTTTTAACATTTAAGGCTAAATATGAATACAAATATGAGGTATCTGATCTTCGAACTGGGGACAGGAAGACACATTGGGAGAGCAGACACGGCGATGTAGTGCGTGGTGTCTACACGCTGTATGAACCTGATGGTGCCTTGCGTACTGTTGAGTACACAGCCGATGCGTTACATGGGTAAGTAGTTACTCGGTTAGTCTAATATACTGTATTTCCAGTCCTATTTCTATATGTTTTTCCACCATTTTTTTGTACATACAAATAATTTTTCTATGTATATAGGAGAAACAGATCAGGGCCCATTTGTGGTGCTAGGTAATTACTGAAGACTTTAGACATTACAACGTGATTACTGCCATCCTACCTTGAGGTCGAAGTCTCAGTTGTATAGTGTAACGACTAGTCTACCCTTCTTTTCATCTCTGGAAACACGTAAGCTGGTAGTGCCTATCCTACTCTATCATCAGTAAATTCTCATTACATTTTTTTTTCTAAAATGTTTGTACACCTGCTGATTCGCGAATATCTCATGGTACAGACATATCATGGTACAGATGAAAGGCTGTTCTACGTCTTATAATATACCGAATACATTTTTAAAATGTTTTTTTTTTTTCGTATTGTCTTCCTCGACCTCTTACCTTTTTTATCAGTTTGTGTGAGTAGATTACGTTCGTAGGTACTTACGGCGTTTACTCATTACAATAATTACGTTTTGCTATAAATCATCTTAAAAGAAACTCCTCATCTATTTTCATAGTTCTGATTGTTATAATATCCCACGAGAAACTGTTTTATTCTTCTTTCTTGTTTTATTTTAAATAATTATTGACTGTGTTCCTTGACGCGTGCAAGGCCGTGGTGGATAACAACCAGTATTTGTCAATATTATACATATTATTTATAAAACGTCTTATAAAATTAATCATGTAATATATTATGACGTTTCGCATAATATTTTAGATTATTGTTATCATATTTTTTTATTTTATTTTTATGTTAATTTAAACAGATTTAATGCCGTAGTGAGGAGAAATGCACCGTCACCGCATCAATATCCACGAACCAAGCCGTCTTTACACAGTTTTACTAAAGCTCAGGATGACGGAAAGGCTTTCAAGACCGATGAACCAAACGACTTTTCACATAATCCTGCCCAAGGTTCTTTTTATAATAATCTCGGCGTGGACTTTACAGTGAATCATGTTTTAAGCAACGATAGTGGAAGAAGAAAATACTATTAGTTTCAAAGTATTTTCCTCGACTTCAGCGACTCGTAGACATAAAAGTATTTTTAGATTAGACTCGAATTAATTATTTTAGTATTTATAATTTTCAATGTTTTTGATTATTTGCAGTTTTCTTGATCACCAACAACTAAATTGTTGTTATTCATAACACAATATGTAATAGATCATTTTTAGTCGTGCTGTCATCAGCAGCCCACAGCCGTCCACTGCTGGACAAAGGCTTCTTCCAAGATTCCCTATAATGACTCGTCCTGCGCAGCTTGCATTCAGTGGATCCCGTAACCTTTTGATCATCGGTCCACCTCGTGGGAGGCCTGGCCTACCCACGCTACGTTTTCAGGTACATCACTCGAGATCTTTTCGGCCCTAGATGACATCTGCTCTGCGAGCAATGTGCCCTGCCCACTGCCACTTCAATCTGGCAATCCTACGAGGTATTTCAGCTTAGCCCTCTCCGCAAGAGCAATCTCTTTGAATAACTTTGAGCCTTCTGATAAGACCCATTGTCAACAACCACATCTTACTGCCGTTTGCCATCATTGGCAACACTTTTCCGGTCCAAAACCTTGGAAACATCCTTCAATGCAGCGGTAAAAAGTTTTCGAGAAATAACATCTCTCATCTCATATCACGCCACGCCGCAGTTTTAGAAGATTATAAATTAACTCGTGCAATAGCTGTTATAAATCCGTTACTTAAGTTTCGTTGATATACTTGGGACAGAAATTTTGTAATAATGAATTTTGTACGTATACAGTGCAGTTACTGATTTTTATTGTAATAAATTCTACTTACTACAGACTTTAAAAAAGGAAATTGTGTTTAATTTAGCCCTTTGTTTTTCTGGCTGTTTTAACTCAGAGACATTTTAATTGGAGAGCTTGAAACGGTTGTCTTCAGCATCATACATAAGTGTTTCGAATGATAAAGTATTCGTATAGATGTATCTTCGATATCTGTTCTGTATCTGTTCAACATCTGAGTGTGATATTTTATTCTGCTATTAAAAGTGTGTCTATTTGGTTTTTTAAAATTGATAGAATTTATATATCTACATGTATCGAAATGATTTATTCAAATTGATAGCAGCTCGTTAATTTCTGAAAATTTATAAAAGATGTTTCGGATTCATACTTTTTACTAATGAAATGTAATAGTCTGAAAAACAGGCATAGTAAACTAATAAAGTATTCTCGAAGAAACCTGGTGTGCAGAATAAAATTCTGTTATGTTTTTTTAGTTATTAAGAATCACAAATCTCTGTATGCTTAACTTCAATATAGAAAACTTCATGCTGTAAATAACTGTTTGTGTTTGTCTTAATTTAATTATTGCATGTATTCATTATTTTAAAACGAGGGAAAAAAAACAACAGGTCTTTTTCTTAATTTATTCGTCAGCGCTGGCGTTACATGTAGAAAATTGGCTTTTGTTTGATAATTGAAACATTTTCTCCAAATTGTTGAGTTTTTAAAGCTTTGGTGATTCAAAATTGCATATTCATGACTAGTGATGATGATCATGGTGGTGTTCATGATGCCCATCATGATGACTATGATGCTCATGGTGTCCATGATCGTGATGGTCATGATGATCGTGATGGTCATGATGATGGTGATGCTCATGGTGATCGTGATGGTTATGATGATCGTGATGGTTATGATGATCGTGATGGTCATGATGATCGTGATGATGATGGTGATCATGATGTGGGATGATATGGTGGTGGGCAAATCTGTTATGTACGACAGCGTTGAAACTGAAAAGAAAAATAATAGATGACAACTATAACTCTAAATTATGTAAATATTTAACTTCTAATAAATGGAATTAAGTTAAAATGTTTTAAAAGTTTCTGAAAATATCGCAAACTTACCCGTGGTGGTCATCTGCATTATAATGAACAGATCTCACATTGCCATCGGGCTCCACGAGGGAGTATTCTCCTGTTACATGATCACCATGACGCGTTTCTGACTGGGATTTGTGGTCGCCGGTGTGGTGATCATCAACTGAGTAGGAGAATTGGTATGAAGGGTATGACGAAGCCTGTAACAAATTAATGTTTGTACAAACATAATCATTTCTTAATCTAATAGTGTGAGCACACCTAAATAACAAGTTTTTCTTTGCAATTTAATTATTCTTTTGTGGAAACGCTGTCTGCGAGTGATAAGATGATGAAAAATATTAATTTCGGTGTTTGGATCCAAATAAATCTCTTTTATATAATAACATTTTATTGGATATTGTTAAGAAATCCTCATTGGTAAAATATAACTTACGTGGTCCAAGTGCCCATGTTGTTGATGTGTTACATGGTGATCATGGTGTCCGTGGTGTCCATGGTGGTCGTGATGTCCATCGTGGCCATGGTGTCCGTGATATGCTTGGTGTTCATGGTGGTCATGGTGATCATGGTGGCTATGATGGTCATGATCATCATGGTGATGATGATTGTTATGGTGATCTACATGATGATGGTGATCATGGTGATCGTGATGATCCACCCGAAATTGATGGGATGTTGCCGGCGGATGCGCCATCGCCGCAATCACCACCAAACACAGAGTAGCGACCTGCATTAAGTGTTGAAAAGGCATTTTATTAAAATTGTACATAGTAGGTATATTCACGTATAGAGAATATTCGTGAAAATATGCCAAGTACTAAATTTATCGATGTGGGTCTAAAAAACTTGCTATTCATATTATAAATCATAAATCACGGTCTTAAAGGGTGGGACTAAAACAAACTACTCGGGTATTGTCCGAATAATGTTCGCATTACAATGATGAATAGACGACGTTACTAATACTATAAGTTTACAGCAAAGCTTACCTTATATTATTATGGCTATGCGAGTGTGGTGTTTCTTTCAAAATGTGCATTTAATACTAAAGTACGTTCATTTACCACTTTGAGAAGGCGACACGACATGAGAACCCTCTTGTCGTGGCAGCTGGAATCTACATACCCGATCCTGTAGACCGATCCATTAACGATGCTGTTAGGTACCACAAGCACCGGTCACCGTCCTCTGTAAGCCCGTCGCTTGCGACGAAGGGCTCGACGAGCGAATTAACCCATAGACACAGCCCACTGAGTTTCTCGGCGGATCTTCCCAGTGGGTCGCGTTTCCAATCCGGTGGTAGATTCTGCGAAGCACTGCTCTTGCTAGGGCCAGTGTTGGCAACATTCCGGTTTGAGTATCGTGAGCTTACCTACACGTTAGGGTGAAGCTGAAATAGCCTCTCAAGGCTATCAGCATAGGTAGGGGAAAAAAAAACAAAGTCATTTAGATTTACCTGGAACCACATGTTGAAGGAATGTACTGTTAGTCTGCTGGACTGCAACTACGAAATGTTCATCATGCGTTTACCTTTTATTCCAAAGCGCACTTGCAATTTTTGATATTAGAATCAATTATAACGACATATAATTGGATCCTTAGTAATTAACAAAAATCATCATCATAATTTGAGAAACTTGTGTTTCCTTTGCGAGGTCCAAGGGCGGACGTCACGATCCATTACTTGGCATGATTGTTATCAAACTGTACGGCGTGTAAATATATCTAATTGTATCATTAGATTACACGCGAAACTAAATGGACACGAACAAAAAATGTATAAATTAACCATTAATATTGCAAACATCAACAAGCCAGGTTTTTCTGCAAGGTTTGTTTACGCCCGCTTATGTTTCAAGCCGTTGTTAATAAATACATTTTGATTGAAGGAGACGGATAACGATACTATGATTTCAAGATTTATAAGTTCTAAATACCTGCTTTATGTCAGTCAAGTTTGGTCCAGGGGGTATGATCGGAATTGATAGGAAATTAACAGGAAATAAATAATATAATGCACCCATCATAGATCAAACATATATAGAATTATTACTGGTGGTAGGACCTCTTGTGAGTCCGCGCGGGTGGGTACCACCGCCCTGCCTATTTCTGCCGTGAAGCAGTAATGCATTTCGGTTTGAAGGGTGGGGCAGCCGTTGTAACTATACTGAGACCTTAGAACTTATATCTCAAGTTGGGTGGCGTATTTACGTTGTGGATGTCTATGGGCTCCAATAACCACTTAACACCAGGTGGGCTGTGAGCTCGTCCACCCATCTAAGTAATAAAAAAAAAAATCCTCGTCTCACATATTGCCGGGGCACATTTAGGCTGTGTGTACGTTTTTATATATAGATAGTGGGGACAGCTTTCGACGTTAAAGCTTAGATTCAACTTAGGTATCAAATCAAAGCTGTGTTACTAAAATTTATCCATAGGTACCATTAGTACTCGTGAATACGTTTCATTTTATATACATGTATAATATGAATACTTATGGTATACGAGCGATTGTATTAAGTATCTCAGGTTTAATTTTAAAAAAAAATTAGTTTCGAAAAAAAATATGTCAATACAGAGAGATACATAATATGTATACCCAGTCTCAGATACGGGACTTCTCAAAGCACTATATAGGTATATACCACGTCTATACCGCGAGCATCCAGCAAACTCGTCTAGAATACCTTAGAAAGTTCTTTTCGTATTCTTATTTTAGCTCTGGATACTCAAACGAGTTCTAAGTAACAATAGCGTTGATCCAATAGATGCTATCACTATCAATTGAAATACTCTATTTTCGGTTAGCTAGATGCTTTCAAAGTTTTAAAATGGTCATTTGTAATTAACGGCTATTTTAACGTTTATATATTGTTTTCGCTTACTATTTATTACCCTATCTTAAGTATTGTCTTCAACAACTGTTTTCTAGAAATTCTTATAAGAATGAATGGACAGAAATTAACGGATAGAAATCAGACAGGTCCATAGGAATTTATGAGGGAATAGCTGTAGTCCAGATAAAAGGGAATTGGCAGCAATTCCAGAAAAATCTCCATTTTCTTATAAATTTACGAGCTTTAAAGTTTATTAATTTTTTCAGCATCTCTGTTTCGAATACTTTAAATTTTCCGGAGACCAAACATCTTTAAGTATTTGTAAGCCGTAAAAGTTATTTAAACAAGTTCACATGTGGTTTTACGCTCATAGTTCAACTGCAACTAAACGAAGCAATTACTTACAACGGAATTCAATATTGCAACCATTTTTAATATCGGTTAGTAGTTGCAATAGCATTTTTTTTGTTTCTGTGGAAGTTACCGACACGTCCGGACTCTGGCCATTGAGCTGACCTACAAAGATTAGGTAAAGTAAGTGATTCAATAAGTAAAATTTTATACTAGTATCGTCTTTAAAAATTGCGGAGTAAATTATTAGCGTTGGCAGTCAATCAATTATTCAAAATTAATTATTCTTAATTAATTATGTAAAGGTTATAATTCGCAGGCTATAAAGTCATAACTATAAAGGGTAAATTACCGGATAAGCCGATTATCGTTCTAGAATGGCAGCACCTCATCTCATCCCTTAGGTATCGCGATTAATGAATTCACCCGAGAATGGGTACTGGCGTCTCTGAATATTTTACTTTATATTGCGTTGTCAAGCAGCATTTACGAGAAGTAGAGCGTATTGTCAATCTGAATCAGTACGAACCATCATCCTGCCTGTTTTTACCGCGAAGTTGTCGTGCATTCTGGCTTGAGTGATAGGACAGCGGCTGTATAATAATAGCGGCATTAATATTATGATATATATTGATTTCGATAACTAGTTCATGCCTGTAGATAGCGGGCTCGTTCGTCTATTGACGCAATAAACAAATAGTATCTTTTCAATAATAGGCCTCTAGCCTTTTAGTAACGGCCTTTTGGCTGATATTGTTTTCCATTAATAATGACAAATCCTCTTCCTTACAATCAAATAAATATCTGCTGGTTACGCTTAAAAATACTAGTTTTTTGTATACGGAAATGGCGTTAAACCTATGTTTTTTGTACGTAGTAAATGGACAATACTTCTGTATGCTCACTGGCTTTTTATTTTTTAGACGGGTGAATGAGCCCGCAGTTCATCTGGTGATTAGCGGTTAACAGAGCCCAAAGACATCAACAAAGTAAATGTCGCTACCCACATTGAGATATGAGTTTTAGGTCTCAGTTTTACAGTACAACGGCTGCTTTACCCTTCACACCAAAACACATTATTGCTTCATGGTAAAAATAAGCAGGGGGCATACCCGTGTGGTGGGTTCATAGCTCGCCCCACCAATAATTACGCAAATTATAATTTTTGCGGTTTGATTTTTATTACACGGCATTATTCCTTCACAGTGGAAGGTGTTCGTGAACATTTGTAAAGTAGATATTTCATTAGAAAAATTGGTATATGTCTGCGGGATTAGAACACTGGCACAGTCGCATCGCTCAGTACGAATGCACCAAGCGTCTTATCCTTTAGGCCTAGACGGCTTCTAAGCTCGACTTTATTCTGTCTGTGTATTATAAACACTGATGGTATATAAAGGAAAAAAAGTTAGAACAGTGTACTTTGTTCTTCTAAATGTGAGCAAAACTTATATCAAACACTAATAATACACTCAAATTGTCGGTACATAAATTTATTCGGAAGTTCAAATGTAGAATTTTTTTCTTAACTTAATCATATTAAATGAAAATAGCCCTTATATTTATGTTAATTTTGGAGCCATTTGCAATGGTTATCACAATATTTAATTGTCGATATATAACACACAGCCCACCTAGTGTTAAGTGGTTATTGCAGCCACAAGAATATGAATATCCAGGGTCGGATTTAAACTTAATGCCGCTTCTGGGTACCGGAAATAAATCCGTCCCAATACTGGAATTTTACTTAAACTTATAGTTTATATATTTTATTTTTCAAAATTAAAATAATTAATTGATTGCAGAAACGTTATCATATGTTATATATTCCAAAAACATAAATAAATATTTGTTTTTTTTTCTAACAATTATAAATTTTGCACTAAGGGTGGCTCATAATTATATTACATCCAAAAAAAAAACTAATTAAATGTCGTTAATTCCAGAAAATAGAGAAATCGATTATTTTTTGAAATGTCCAAGGAAATAAATTGATTAAATCATTTTGATTATAAATTTTTACTAAAAGTACCAAGATTATAATTCATAAATAATGGATGAATTGAATTTGTTGAATTATCTATTAAACAAAAAAATATTAATTAGTAGAATTAATTAATTGTATTGAGTAATCTTGATTAGACTAAAAAAAATTTTTTCACTTTCAAAATTTTGCTGCCTGGTCATAATAATCCTTCGTTAGTAGTAGTGGGAAGGCAGTGAACTAGCTGCGCTTCCCTTTGTTATTTTACTAATGATCGTTAAGGGAAGTAATATCGAAAACTCTTTATATGTAAAATCCGGTGTAAAAAAATATATGGTGGTAATAAGTTAATAGGGTTCATAGAGTAGCATATATTCTGAGTTAATGAAATGAAATACGAAAGTAAAGTAAAACAATGCTAACAATTTAATTTTAAAACTTTGATATGATTAAGATAACTGGATTTATTTGAGATTTATAGACTAAATTAGGTTTTGTATACGAATAAAGAAATTCTAACAGACGTGGAAAAAGAAAGGAATAATGAACGTTGGTGAATCCAATATATATTGTAATGAAATAGTTTTCTTTTAATTAGCGTAATGATTTATCTAATGTTTTGCGTTCCAGAATGATTCAGGCGTTTTATTTGGTTCTCTGTTTTGAAGTCGATCTGTGTCCCATTTATACTCAAACTTCTTAGCCAAATTCCTCAGACGGAGATGTTCGAGTAGACTGTCAAAGTCTCTGAATTCTTTGGGTTCATCGGTATGCACGTTCCTGGGGAGGATAATTATCTGACCGCCAGGACCTCTGGTGTAATCTCTGCCACCAGTCTTCATATATCGGTAGTCTAGTACCAATGTAGGCTGATGATAGTCCGGGCTGAAGACTTCTGCGATGATCCTAAAGAAATCGCGAGGATAAATAATTGATTAGTTGAGTTAATTTAGTTGATTAATGAAATAAATGCGAAATATTATTAGTATTTTTTTATGGTATTTGAACCAACTAGATTACTTCACCAACAAAGCAGTTTTATATATTTTTTAAATAAGTTAATGATTAGGTTAGATTTGTGACACCGAACTCTGAATGCTTCACAGATAAAGCTTCAAAATACATGAAAGTCCTTATATTTTCCAGTATTAAAAGTACTGCGTAGTATTATGAAGTCCTAGTTTGCACTAGTTTCTCCTAGTTACACAAATGGAAATAAGTTTTGTTACATTGTTATTATTTTAAGAGTAACAACAATTTAAATAAATAAAATTATTTTTTTAGTCAAAAGGTGTAATTACTTGTTTTGTTTTTCTATATCCGGAACGTGACCCTGCAACAAATGTAATACGATTTATAAATAATGAGCTTATAAGTCTAAGTTTTTATTCATGAAATGTTATGATCTACGAATAAATATAGTCTTATCATCACCTTAGAGTTCACTTTTATAAGCACCTCACCTTTAAAAGCAGTTATTTCAAGCTTAGGTGATTACGAGCTTCATTATTTTTATAATAGATAGTGAGTCATGACTTAAACAGGAGGAGAGAAGCGGCCGCTCCGAAAACCGAAGATGAAGAGGAAGAAAAAAAAAAAAGAAGAAGTGAAGATGAAAAGAAGATCTTCATCATCAAAGTCCTACCCAACATTCTCAAGCCTGTATCACTCAAACCTGCAGCTTATCACCTCTGCCTCAATAGGCAGAGAGCTTACAAACCCGCCCAGAAGGGGATCCCCGAGCCTCGTCCCGCGCCTCCGTAAGGGAACGCGACGCGACGACCCGACGATCTAAACATATCTTTCTGCATAATAGAACAAAATATAATTTTAGTTAAATTTGTCTATTATATAATGTATTTTTTGTAGACCTACATGACTATTGTGAAGGTTATTAGTGCGCAGGATTGCAGGCCCTCGGAAATTATCATCATCGTGTAGTCTCACACTGTAACCTTTCTGATCATCATTGTCATCATAGCGAACACCGTGATAATTAGGTCCATCACGATGCTTCGTATACACTATGGTGTCAGCGGTATCCTGATTGGCATTTGCTAAGCATGATGTGATGGTGGTGGTTAAAAGTAAGATCTGGGAAAAGTAAATAAAAATTAATTCGTCTTAGACTGTATAATATTTCTGACGCATATTTATATTTACAATAAAGCAATTGCAATTTAGGTTTACAAATGAGACTAATAAAAAGTGATTAATTTTAGAAAGAATACATATAGAAGTTGTTCTACATCGAACCGAACGTAATTTTTTTTTGTCTATTTTAAGTTGCATTAAATTAGTGAGCTTAAAATTGAACACTAAGCTAAGTGAATCACCAAACTGTTAAAATTATAGTGACTTACATAAAACATGTTGCCTGTATTCGATCGATAAACACAACTAAACGTGCAATACACAATGTAAATAAATAAAAAATATTTAGTCGAACGTTTCACCGGATTCACCTGTAATTGTTTGCTTCCTTTATACTGAGTTAGTTGTTTTTCATCAATATATATGTATGTGTTAAGAAGATTATTATTACAGGTGGAGTTATATCATTGGTTGGAAGGCAGGCATTAAGTAAATTTAGGACGTTCATAATTGGAATTTATCGATTATTTTTAATAATACTCTGTACTTCCGTTCATTATGTTTTGTACTTATTGTTTATGCTCACTAAAAGTACTTTGACCGGTCATGTATGTAATTAATATTATTAAAAATACTAATACCATTTAATAATATAAGTAAGTTTTAGACTTAGCTAAAGACTTTTGAAGTCTTCGTGGCCTAACGGATAAGACGTCCAGTGCATTCGTGCTGAGCGATGCACCGGTGTTCGAATCTCAGGCGGGCACCAATTTTTCTAATGAAATACGTACTCAACAAATGTTCACGATTGATTTCCACGGTGAAGGAATAATATCGTGTAGTAAATATCAAACCCGCAAAATTATAATTTGCGTAATTTATTGGTGGTAGGACCTCTTGTGAGTCCGCGCGGGTGGGTACCACCACCCTGCCTATTTCGGCCGTGAAGCAGTAATGCGTTTCGGTTTGAAGGGTGGGGCAGCCGTTTTAACTATACTTGACACCTTAGAACTTATATCTCAAGGTGGGTGGCGCGTTTACGTTGTGGATTTCTATGGGCTCCAGTAACCACTTAACACCAGGTGGGCTGTGAGCTCGTCCACCCATCTAAGCAATAAAAAATAAATAAATAAAGTAATATTAATGCTAGACAATAATTTAATTTTAGTTTCTTAACAGGAATAACAAATTTAATCTCGTAATGTTGATAAGTGTTATAAAGTTGGGGTCTTATTGTGAAGGTCTTACGTCTGAATCAGTTTGTTTTACTTTCCTATTTTTTTGGTACGTAATTAACTTAATTAATTATTTTAAGTACTGTAATATGCCAAAAGATCTTAAAAGCATTCCTTGATCAACCATTCGGAACACTGAAAGTTTAAGTTAAACAAGTACTTAAAGTGTTTAATTTTATATTGCGTAACTACATAAAATGGAGTATATTTTATGACAGTTTAATAATGTAAGGTCTACTCCCACATAAAACGACGGCAGACAGTTTACTAGCTTGATCGATGGTTATCACCAATTTATGATTTAATCGACAATACTAAAATGAAGGTTATACGATTTAAAAACATACCCAACCAAGGCTGGTGGGATAATACGCAAGGCGTGCCTATAAGCTACCTCGTGGAAAATTTATTATTGTTTTTAGTAATCTTCGTTATAATAGGAGTGCAGTTTTCTAAATTATTTAGTGTTTGTAGTTTAAACTTAACGAACAGTCACTATAAAGTAATAACTTAATGAAGACTCTGAAATGAATGATCCCGAATAGTAAATCACTACAAACTGCACTGAGTAGAATCGTTTTTATTATTTATTTATTTATGATTTAAGTATTACTGGTGGCCCGGACGCCTTTCCAGTTTCACTAGGACAGGTTGGCGAGCAGAGTCTTAGCCCGGAGAGTTGCTAACAGCTGCCAGAGCACCTCCGAAGAAGACCTAACAACTCAAGAGCAGCTGCTTCGCGAATGAATCTACTGCCGGATCGGAATCGCGACCCACTGAGAAGATCCGGCGAGAAACTCCGCGGGCTGATGCATGGGTTAGGTTCCACGTCGAATTCTTTGCTGAGATCGACGAGTACGGTTACCGGGATCCTAAGCCTACTCCTAGTGTTAGAGCTGAAGGCGTCTAATGCAAGAGTTATTGGATCTGATGGATCCGTAAGGACGTGTCTAGGGCGACGACGGTGACTTCTTCCTGCGTGATCAAGATTCGAGGAATAGTCTGCAGTGGCAGAATCGTTTATTGGTGAGCTGAGCAGTTGCTGAGATCCTAAACAAATATAATTTTCTGATGTTAAGTGATGTTGATGAGCCAATGAAATGGCGATAAAGTTAACTTAAATAATTTTTACGGTTTAATTGGAAACTTTATAGGTTTTAATATCGTGCTATGATCTAGTTCTTGTAAAATATGTTCATTAATATTTGTTTCTTTGCGCACACAAAGAATTCACACAACTTGGAGTGATAAAGAGGTTAAAAATACATTTACATATTCTTACATTGTTAGGCCTTGCAGAAGCACAATAAGCTCTACCGCCAAAACAACTAAAACCAATTGCAACCACAACAATGTCGGAGACCAGTTATCATAATTTGATAAATATGGAATTAACAGTCGACCACTACTACCTGTTTGGAAAGTCGTAGTAACCTCAAGTGGTTATACCTACTAGATTCGAAGAACGAGTAGGCTTGCTCTCGGTGCTCAAACCTGGAGACGTTGCTTTCATTAACCCTAGCAAGAGCAGAGCTTCGCAGCCGCGCTACCACCGGATCGGAAACGCGACTAATTGAGAAGATCCGGCGAGGAAGTCAGTGGGCTGTATCTGCGGGTTAATTTGCTCGCCGAGCCCTTTGTCGCAAGCGACGGGTTCGACAAAAATGTTGGTTGTATAACACAAAGTTAATTTTCCTTCAGCTANTGGAGACGTTGCTTTCATTAACCCTAGCAAGAGCAGAGCTTCGCAGCCGCGCTACCACCGGATCGGAAACGCGACTAATTGAGAAGATCCGGCGAGGAAGTCAGTGGGCTGTATCTGCGGGTTAATTTGCTCGCCGAGCCCTTTGTCGCAAGCGACGGGTTCGACAAAAATGTTGGTTGTATAACACAAAGTTAATTTTCCTTCAGCTATTAAGCTTTTCAGCATATTATTATGATGTACCTTAAATATAATTATATTTTTATTCTATAACTAGCTGACCCGGAAGACTTCGTAGTGCCTCAATCAATAAATACCTAAACTTTTGTATGAAATAAACTTAAAACAAACACTAGGAATCCGTCCCGAAAATTGTTATTTTTATTTAATTCCGAGCATTTTCATATTTATCTATCTACCTTTTAAACCTTCTCTGGACTTCCACAAATAATTCAAGACCAAAATTAGCCAAATCCGTCCAGGCGTTCTCGAGTTTTAGCGAGACTAACGAAAAGCAATTCATTTTTATATATAGAGATATAGAGTTAAACAAAAATAAAATCGATCTGTGCTCTTGTCTTCTTAAAAACACGTCTTCGTTATCTTGGATAATAATTATTTATAAAATTCCAAAAAAAATATGCCATATAAGACCATGGTAATGTTTTTTAAATAATTTAAAAATACGTGAAAATAGCGATGTTATTCGGCGCAAGTAACCTATCGTTTTTATATGGTTTTGGTGAGAATACCATGAGTAAAAAAATGTACTAATGCCAGAACCTGTTTTAGTTAAACATCACCTCTTCGAAGTGCCTGATATATTGTTCATTTCAATAAGTCGTTACCTCATATAGCTCACATATTTATAGTAGGTTGTTTTTTTATGTCATTACTTTAAATCTTTTTAATACAATAACAGCTGAAAATTAAATGTTTTCTTTCGTTTTTCTATTACAATTTCTCTTCTATCAATTTTCATTTCATCAATTTTCTTAGCAGGAAATAAAATGCAAAAGTTTGGTTCACAAAGTACTGAAGTTGAAGTTTTAGGGATATACAAAAATAATACTTCAATTTGCGCGAAAAATCTTTTATTTTGCGCTTAACATTGCAAATTAAATATTAAAATTTTCACTAAAATATCACACATTTTTCAGTTTGCACGTTTCATTCGCCGCAAGGTTTTCGTTCATGTTGGTGACGTTCAAGGTTTTATTAATCTAGGACCTTCTATTTTTTCTGTAGTAATGAGGATGGTGGTAGTTTTCTCTGATCTTGTGTACTACAGGAGCTCGATAAGGCAGTGGCTCGTATTCACCTAAATTAACAGAAGAATGGCCGTCTTTGTCTTCTTCTTTGTTATCCCGTTCTTCTTCTTCTTCTTCGTGTTTTTCTCCTTCTTCTTTTTCTTCTTTCTTGTAATCAACAATAATGTTTTTATGCTCTACTTCAGGGTAGTGCGGGATGTGGTGAGATTTCTTTTCTTCATCAATATGTTTGTGGGGCTCGGAGTATTTGACGTCGGCATTGAAACTGGAATAATATGAATTCGAATAAAATATCTATAATATAACATATCACAGATTTTATAAAAAGTGCGTCTGCAATTATTATTGAGACAAAACTATACATGCGTTTCAAAGTTCTACAATACAAATAACAGATGAGACCCGTTGTATGTTGTGCTAGAAAATATTTACTTCGTATTACATCAGCTCATCTTATTTAAGTAATATTGAAATAAAGGAATATGAAGGTGATGTTACCCTGATTTCTTATCCCCATGGTAAGAAACGATACGTTTATGACCATCAGGTTGAATCAGCCAGTATTCGCCTTTCACCTCATCATCCTCTCTGTTCTCGGATTGTCCTTTTTTGTCATGTGTGTGTGGATCATGTACTTTATAAGAGAACTCGTATGATGGATACGACCATGCCTGGGAAAGATAAGTAGAAAGATGACATATAAATTCAAAAAAGGAGAAGAACAGAAAATATGACAGCTTCGCTCTGTGGGCTTACAATAAGCCCTACTATCAATAAAACTGTTCGCAGGACGGTCATTATTCTAATAAAATTGAAGCTTCTCCTTCAAGTCTTTGAGGTAGGGATCACTTACGTTGTGATGACTATGTCTCCTTTAACTGTCTACACTAAGTGAATGAGCTTGCCTTTCTTTACGCCAGAAAAAGCAAAAGTAAAACTTTGAGGAATACCAAATAAGGCGACTTACGTATTCGTCCGATTTCTTCTCAGCATTTATTATTTTCTTGTGTCGAACTACGACTTTCTGTTCTGAGGTAGCATGGCCGCCTCCTAGCACGCACACAGCTATGCTCAACAAAATTAGCACCTGGAAATAAGTTTTTGTCCCCGGTCAAACTTAAGCCATTTAATTTGATGTAATGGTTATTTGTTAGTTTCCTTGTTTACCTTAGCAAACATTATGTTATCTTGATGTTCCGAACACATGTAACATCGGATGGTATTCTTCAAGTATTTATACGCATCAAAATGTTGACTAGTAATCATTGGCATCCTGCAAAAGAATTAATTTAGAAGCAATTACGCATCGATTTGGTAGATTTTCTCGATTGAGGATGGGCGTGTTCATCAATGCTGCGAAAGAAAACGAGGTTATGTTGGTGGTTTAAATTACTGCATGTGCGTTTCATGAGTAGTTTATTAAGTGATAGATCGCTATTCCGATTTAAGGCATTGCGAGAACAGTGTATTATAGTGTATTCGATAGCCTTTGTGAGGTTTGTCCTAGTTAATGCATTTTTTAATTTGTTTTTTGTTCATATTACTTTGCACCTTGTCTCTACCAAGTTTTTTAATTTTTTTATTGCCGTAAAGGCAGACGAGCATATGGCTCACCTGATTGTAAGTGGTTACCTTCGCCCATGGACGTCGGCAATGTCAGGGGCAGAGCCAAGCCGCTGCCTACCGTTAAATTTTATTTTGTTATGTTATGTAATTTCGTTGTTACTTTATATAGTTTAATTTCGTCGAACCCCTTTTTTCTAGGTCGGGGCTGAACCTCCTACGAAGTCTCCGCGCCTAGGCTGTGCAACTGGAGGGTCCGCAGATTTCGGTAGGAAACCGCGGACCCAAGGATCGTATTTGCACTGTTTTTTTATTTATTTTTTATTGCTCAGATGGGTGGACGAGCTCACAGCCCACCTGGTGATAAGTGGTTACTGAAGCCCATAGACATCTACAACGTAAATGCGCCACCGACCTTGAGATATAAGGTCTAAGGTCTCAGTATAGTTACAACGGCTGCCCCACCCTTCAAACCGAAACGCATTACTGCTTCACGGCAGAAATAGGCGGGGTGGTGGTACCTACCCGTGCGGACTCCCAAGAGGTCCTACCACCAGTAATTACGCAAATTATAATTTTGTGGGTTTGATTTTTATTACACGATGTTATTATTCCTTCATCGTGGAAGTCAATCGTGAACAGTTGTTGAATACGTATTTCATTAGAAGAATTGGTACCCGCCTGAGTTCCGAACACCGGTGCATCGCTTAACACGAATGCGCCGGACGTCTTATCCTTTAGACCATGACGACTTCACTGTGTCACTATGTATAAAATATATTATGTGCAAAAGTATCGGTCGTGCGTCCTCACGAGCACACTTTACAATATGATTCAAATATACCAAAGTAATGATAAATTATATTAGGTTTTTTTTATGATTGAGGTGGTGATCTGGTGACCTGGAGGCCTTTCCAGTTTCACGCTTACAGATCATAGGGTAGAGTGTGCCGAGAATAAACACGGCACGGTCGCGGACTTCCTGGCCCGGGGTATAGGTTGGAGGAAGAGGGTAATCGGGGGTGCGATATTTCTCTTCCTAAATCGGCCGGAAATAAGCGTTGAATTTCCCCTTTGAAATAGCACTGCTGTGCTTTTCGCTGGGTTGATGTCTATGCGCTATTTTTGTAACCATTGTTCGATAGTTACGGCTGCGCTCTGGAGCTTACTCGTGATTAGGGACTTGTTTCTCAAGTACTCGAGTAGTAAACGTTTGTTGTCGTTGTCGGCGAATAAGGCTAACTAAGTCGGCGGCGACCGGGAAATTTCGTTAATAAATAAAATAAATAGGAGCGGCGAGAGGAGGGAGCCTTGCCAGATTACAGCCGTGAGAGGTCGTGGGGAGAAGCGGGTTCCTTCGACTCTATATGGAAGAGAGTAGTTCGATAAGAAGTTCCGTATGATGAGCACGAGACTATCCAGCATGCCTATGTTGAATAGTTCGAAAATCTAACCGTTGTGCCAGGCTTGTCAAACGCTTTTGCAACGTCCAAAAGAAGGGCTCCCGTGTAGAACGGTTTTGGTCAGTTGAGCCATACGAGTATGTGCTCCATGAGACGGTGCACCTGCTGTACGTATGAGTGAATGCGCGGAATCTCAATTGTTCAACGATCAGAATGCCCTTGGAGGAGGCGAAGTTTCTGAGGCGCCTGTAGAACAGACGCTTATAGAGTTTGCCTAAAGACATGAGGAGGCTAATCGGACGGTAGCTCGTCGGATGATTTTTTATGTATGCCGATAACGTCCGCTTCGTTAACGTGGTTAGATATACCGTCGGAACTGGAAGCCTTGCGACGTAGGTCTTTGATTAGACCTTTAACTTCCATCGGGGTGAGGATATTACGTACTATGCGTTACGGAACCGTGACCATGAATCAAAAGCATGATTTCACTTATTGTGGGTCAATTTGAAATGAGTTGATTAAAATTCTCATAGAAGTCTCATAGTGGCATAGAAATGCCACGCTTGACACTTCCATGAGAATTTTCCAGAGGCAAAGGATTTTTATTAAAAAAAGATATGCCTACCTTTATTTTCTATGTTTTGTGCCTATCAATAAGATAATGTAATTTCATTTGAGCGTAGACATATTGTATATAAGCATATAGACTAAAGTCTCTTTTTGAATAAAAGATGACGTCATTTGAAAACAAAACACAAAGGTCAAATGTATTTTATAAAAATATTGCTAATTACGTTTCATTAGAAATTCGTTTTTTTTAATCGACTGTAACCTGTAATTTCTCGAAACGGTTTTCCAGTTACAGAAAATAAAAAAGGTCAATGCTCATTGCGCACGTTAATACGTGATAAAACTGAAAATCATTAAAAATTATGTTGAGGTTAGAGTATGTGTTAAAAAAAAAATTAGATTGGTTGCTGTGTAGCTTAAACCTAAAACCACCGCGGTCATCCTTTAAAACTTAAAATCACTGTGTTTATCAACAGTGCGTTACAAGCGACCTTTTTATCGCGCTCCATGATGCTCTGAAACGAATTCACAGATTCAGGGTTTATCCTGTACTATGAGATCCCTTTTCTCAAAACACATGAATATTCAAAGACAAACTGAAGTCTGGCATTTAGAATTATTTTCCAGAAATTATGATGGCTACTGGCTGCACTAAAAGTATCGGGAATGGAATATTTCCACTGTTTCTGTCATATTAAAATCTTTTTAATTGAAAACTCCTTGGTTTTAAAAATCGAATACCATTTATTTATTTAAAAAAACATTCTCGGTCTTGTCACGAGGTTTTGTCAAACTTGTTTAGTCGTTGAGAAAATGGAATTGACTCGAGAAAATTCAAGAGCGATGATTTATTATGACTTTCGAAGTGGTTTAACACAAAAACAGTGTGTTGACCGGATGATTTCTGCATTTGGTGATGAAGCCCCATCCAAAACCACAATTTATCGCTGGTTTGCTGAGTTTCAANTGGCGTTCCGTGAGGCTGAGGAGCGCGAAAGGGAGTGGGATCCCTCTTCGGCTTCACAGCGAAGAAGGCGGAGTGGGCGGCACGGGCGCGAAGCTCCCGTTCATCTCCCGTAGGGGCTGTCGGGTGCCGGGTGCGGGGGTGCCCGGTACTCGGCTGTTGGTCCGGTGGTGAGGCGGCGCAAGGTGGCTCCTGTGCACCGCTCAGGGTGTGTCTCCGAGACGACGTCCTGCGGGATTTGCGGGATTTTCCCGGGGATGGAGTGCCGTCCTATTAACAGGATGGGTACCGGCGACGGCGAGCCTTCGGCGCGCACTGTGCGGTACCGTGGGTTTCGTGGAGTCGGAGTGGTGGGGCTCGATGGGGTTTAGTCGGTAGTCGTTCTGCGGGGCAAGTGCTTCGCGCGCCTTTTTCAAGGCGTAGTCTCCTGTGAGGAATTGGGGGAGGTGAAGGACCTCGGCTCTTCTCTTCTCCCCTTCTTCCTCTCAGGAGGCGCCGGAGTCCGACATAACCCGGTCCGTTACCCCCTTCGACCGGGAATACGTAAATGGATTCCCCAGCGTTAAAAAAAAAAAAAAAAGGTCGGGGCTGAACCTCCTACGAAGTCTCCGCGCCTGGGCTGCGCGCGGTGCATGTGGAAATGGAGGGTCCGCAGATCTCGGTAGGAAACCGCGGACCCAAGGACCGTATTTGCCCTGTTTATTAGGCGACCGGGAAATTTCGTTAATAAATAAAATAAATAGGAGCGGCGAGAGGAGGGAGCCTTGCCAGATTACAGCCGTGAGAGGTCATGGGGAGAAGCAGGTTCCTTCGACTCCATATGGAAGAGAGTGGTTCGATAAGAAGTTCCGTATGATGATCACGAGACTGTCCGGCATGCCTATGTTGAATAGTTCGAAAATCAAACCGTTGTGCCAGGCTTGTCAAATGCTTTTGCAACGTCCAAAAGAAGGGCTCCCGTGTAGAACGGTTTTGGTCAGTTGAGCCGTACGAGAATGTGCTCCATGAGACGGTGCACCTGTTGTACGTATGAGTGATTTGCACGGAATCTGAATTGTTCATCGATCAGAATGCCCTTGGAGGAGGCGAAGTCTCTGAGGCGCCTGTAGAGCAGACGCTTATAGAGTTTGCCTAAAGACATGAGGAGGCTAATCGGACGGTAGCTCGTCGGATGATTTTTGATGTATGCCGATAACGTCCGCTTCGTTAACGTGGTTAGATATACCGTCGGAACTGGGAGCCTTGCGACGTAGGTCTTTGATTAGACCTTTAACTTCCATCGGGGTGAGGATATTACGTACTATGCGTTGCAGAACCGTGACCATGAATCAAAAGCATGATTTCACTTAGCTTGGGTCAATTGGAAATGAGTTGATTAAAATTTTCATGGAGCATAGAACAGAGGCAAAGGATTTTTATTAAAAACAAAGATATACCTACCTACCTTTATTTTGTATGTTTTAAGCCTATCAATAAGATCATGTAATTTCACTTGAGCGTACACATATTGTATATAAGCATATAGACTAAAGTCTCTTTTTGAATAAAAGATGACGTCATTTGAAAACAAAAAACAAAGGTCAAATGTATTTTATAAAAATATTGTTAATTACGTTTCATTAGAAATTCGTTTTTTTTAATCGGTTGTAACCTGTAAATTCTCGAAACGGTTTTCCAGCTACAGAAAAAAAAATGTCAATGCTCATTGCGCACGTTAATACGTGATAAAACTGAAAATCATTAAAAAAACATGTTGAGGTTAGAGTAGAGTTAAAAAAAAAAAATTGGTTGCTGTGTAACTTAAACCTAAAACCACTGCGGTCATCCTTTAAAACTTAAAATCACTGTGTTTATTAGTGTGTTACAAGCGACCTTTTTATTGCGTTCCATGATGCTCTGAAACGAATTCACACATTCAGGTACGCGAGTGTGGTGTTCGCTCACGCGGCCCGCACACTCATAGACCCTTCTTCCAATCCCTACAATCCCGCTTTTGCAGGTTAGCCGTCCGAGCGCCATGGTTCGTGAGGAACGTTGAAGACGTCGTGGCCTAAAGGAGAAGACGTCCGGTGCATTTGTGTTGAAGCGATGTAACGGTGTACGTATCCCGAAGGCGGGTACCAATTTTCCTAATGAAATACGTACTCAACAAATGTACACGATTGACTTCCACGGTGAAGGAATAACATCGTGTAATAAAAATCAAACCCGCAAAATAATAATTTGCGTTTTTTTTTATGGCTTAGATGGGTGGATGAGCTCACAGCCCACCTGGCGTTAAGTGGTTACTGGAGCCCATGGACATCTACAACGTAAATGCGCCACCCACCTTGAGATATAGGTTCTAAGATCTCAGTATAGTTACAACGGCTGTCCCACCCTTCAAACCGAAACGCATTACTGCTTCACGGCAGAAATAGGCAGGGCGGTGGTACCTACCCGCGCGGACTCACAAGGGGTCCTACCACCAGTAACTACGCAGGTGGTAGCGACAAAATACTTCTAACGAAAATCTTAGCCCAAAACGACGCGAGTATGCCCGGGTTCAAACAATCTTCCAGACAGATATCAGTTTTTTCAACGAAATGCAAAGGTAGTTACTCCACACACTTTTATACAGATCACTGGTGGTAGGACCTCTTGTGAGTCCGAGCGGATAGGTACCACCACCCTGCCTATTTCTGCCGTGAAGCAGTAATGCGTTTCGGCTTGAAGGGTGGGGCAGCCGTTGTAACTATACTGAGACCTTAGAACTTGTATCTCAAGGTGGGTGGCGCGTCTACGTTGTAGATGTCTATGGGCTCCAGTAACCACTTGACAACAGGTGGGCTGTGAGCTCATCGACACATATAAGCAATAAAAAAAAACCGACACGAAGACTTGGGCCTCGAATCAATCCGGAAATACATGAAGTCAGCATCGGAACGGTACTTCGATAAGGCTATGCGTTATGATAATCGCCTTATCGTTGCCGCCGCTGACTCCTCCCCGAATTCTGATCACGCAGGAGCCAGTCACCGTCGACGCGAAAACAACTGTGAAATGATTATTCAAAGACAAATTGAAGCTTGGCATTTAGAATTATTCTCCAGAAATGATGATGGATACCACTCAAAACCCGGTAGAGTGTAGGTCACCCGTCTACAAAGGGGATAAAATTAGACAAAATTGTTTGTAATAAGTGCGTATAGCTTTATTATTTCAAATCATTCGAAAATCATTTATGTAGTGCAACAAGATTAATTATATGTCAGTAAAATCATAATAAATATTTCCGGCTGTAATGTTAACATATTTGCGTAAGATTAAATGAGACATTTGATCGGAAATAAATTAGTTGATTTTGTTTTTTTAAACACTTTCTTAAATAATTGCTCTCAACTTCTGCTAGGAGTTTATATATATTTTGGTATTTTAGAGTTTATTTAAATATTTTGTTTCTTTTATCCTGAATTTTTATCTATTTGACACCACCCTGCCTATTTCTGCCGTGAAGCAGTAATACGTTTCGGTTTGAAGAGCAGGGCAGCTTTTGTACTGTTAAAAGTGAGACCTTACAGCTCATGTCTCAAGGTGGGTAGCAGCTATTAGGTTGTTGATCACTATGGGCTCCGGTAGCCCCTTAACACCAGGTGGGATGTGAGTTCGTCCACCCTTCTAAGGAATAAAAAATTATAGGCCTTTAACTGTGAAGTCTTTGCATCTGACTATACTTAACTTTCTTAACTTAGTTTAACATAAACTGCCCATGCATTAGACAGTCTAAGTACATTTTAAAGACTCAATGTTAAGGAATGACAATATTGATAATAATAATGAAAATAAACTTAGAAATACTGTATAAGTACATATGGTTGATAAAAATATTTATTTTTTTATTAAATCATCTCTTTCTAAACTAAGACATAATGTAAATTATCATAAAAGCTTCCGGTGGTAGATTCTGCGAAGCACTGCTCTTGCTAGGGTCAGTGTTAGCAACACTCCGGTTTGAGCCCCGTGAGCTCATCTACAGACTTAGGGTGAAGCTGAAATAGCCTCTCAAGGCTATCAGGATAGGTAGGAAAAAAAAGCTATTTTTTTATTTACAAACTTTTTTCAATTTTCTGTAAATTTTAATCAGTTCCGCAAAACTCCAGATATGGATTTCTAAGACTAGGATGTCTTTATGATCTTGAATTCCAAACGTCTTTAGTAAAACTTCATTGAATCCTAGCAGAAATGGAATCGAATCCTGGTGGTAGGGCAGTCAGGGTCACTGACATTGAGCTAACGTAGTGATCAAAGTAAATCACTTAGTGCTATAGTTATGGTCGACCTTCACATCATAGAAAGGTAGGTCAAAAATACAAAGGAAGGTGCAAGGATAATAAAACAATCGTTCAATACAAAATTAGCGCTAATGTATTATTTTGCAGTTTTATCAGTATATGAATAAAATTATATTATATTTATATTTATATTACATTGGTCGATTTAACAACGAAATTGCTGGTCGAAATTTTTGATTAAATATGATGATGCTCTTGATGGAAATGATGATGCGGTGACGAATGATGAACGATAGCGTTGAAACTGTAACAATTGTTAGCGTTCTAGGAAATTACTTGCAAAGTAAATGACACTTTAAATACACGACACTCGCAGAGCTTTCGAAATAGTAAAAACAAAAATAAATCGTTTGATGATGTCTGTTGAAAACGCGAAACGAATTTCGCACACGTCAAATTCACATGTGGGTATTAACATATTTTTCGCGTCGTTAAAGTAATACGTAGGTACTCTTCGTTACAATTTAGAATTAACAATACTCGAAATGGTGTTTTAATAATATGATACTTAGTTGTAAGCATATTGAGAATCCTAATATTCATATAGTATGAAGGTTTCAATTTGTAGATATTACACAAGTTGTGAGATGTAATATTAATATCTCATGTTTGCGACTTAACCAAGTTTAATGAAAGAGAATTTCTTTTCTGGTATTATAACATCACAGCATATGTAATGTAACATATTTTAGGTAATTTGAAAGCATCGTTACGTAGTCCTTTGTGCGTCTAAAAATTTCCTAAGTTATAAAAAATATCAACTGAAATCATACCCAGTGTGGTCATCGGCCTTGTACTCCACTTTCCTGAAGCGACCATCAGGTTCAATAAGCTCGTATCCTCCCCTCACAACATCACCATGTCTAAGCTCATGTTGTGATTTCACNTGTAACATATTTTAGGTAATTTGAAAGCATCGTTACGTAGTCCTTTGTGCGTCTAAAAATTTCCTAAGTTATAAAAAATATCAACTGAAATCATACCCAGTGTGGTCATCGGCCTTGTACTCCACTTTCCTGAAGCGACCATCAGGTTCAATAAGCTCGTATCCTCCCCTCACAACATCACCATGTCTAAGCTCATGTTGTGATTTCACATCTCCGGTATGATGGTCGTGGACGGAGTACGCGAATTTGTACTCCGGAAATGCCTGTAAATGATTTTATGTTTAGATTAGTAGAAAGAATATTGACGATACTGAAATAAATAAATAAAATATGTCATTTGCTACGGATACAGTTTAGACCTTGCTCCAACGGACTACCAGTTTTTTTTGTAATTTGGACAATTTTCTACGTGATAAAAAGTTTTCTTCCCAGGAAACAGTACAAAATGCTTTCACACAGTTTGTTGAATTTAGATCACCAGAGTTCTATCGCAAAGGCGTAAATGAAATTCCTATTAGATGGCAGCAATGTATAGATAATAATGGTAGATATTTTGATTAAATAAATATGTTAAATGAAAAAAAAACGAATTTCAATTTTTCAGTACAAAGTGGATGGATGTCTAAAACCTCAAGTAACCATTCGGAACTCACTGAGTATAAGCTCCCGGGAATGATCCCGGATCTTCTCAGTAGGTCGATCGCGATCCAGATCCGATTGTAGATTCAGCAAAGCACTGCTCTTTCCACATATCAGTGGTAGCAAATTCTCTTAAGTTGAGCACTTGAGCTCACCTACCGGTCCATGAGTAGTTAGATTTTCCCCTAGGCTACCAACGATTAGGTAGAAAAAAAAAACACTGCTCGGGATCAATTGTAGTGTGAGTTCGTATGCACAGCTACATCAGAAAAATAATATAAAGCATTATTAGAAAAGCAGAAGAACGAAGAAATAAAGCAGACTAACATTTAAAAGATACATATAAAATCAAAATATACCACAGAAATACTCACGTAGTGATCATGATGAATTGGAATATGATGGTGTGGGATGTGATGAACTAAAGGCACATGGTGATGAATGGGTATCGGTACTGGGTGGTGTATTCCCACGGTATGGTGGGGTCCGACATGTTTCTCGATTTCTTGATGAGAAATAGCTGGGTGGTGATGGTGAAACGGAAAAATTGCTTGGCATGCAGATACCAATACAAAGAGTGCCGTAACCTGAATTTTAAATTAGTTGTTAATGTAACGGTCAATATTATTTCATAAATGCTTTTTTTTTACTGATTCCTTTATATACTACAAACTTATAGCAACATATCATACATTCCTTACTGGTGGTAGGACTTCTTGTGAATCCGCGCGGGTAGGCACCACCGCCCTGCCTATTTTTGCCGTGAAGCAGTAATGCGTTTCGGTTTGATGGGTCGGGTAGCCGTTGTAACTATACTGAGATTTTAGAACTTATATCTCAAGGTGGGTGTCGCATTTACGTTGTAGATGTCTATGGGTTCCAGTAACCACTTAACACCAGGTGGGCTGTGAGCTCGGAACCCCATCTATGCAATAAATAAAAAATACCACTAGATATGAAGTTGAAATCGCAATATTATAAAGATGCTCTTATTAGACAAAGGCAGCTTGAGGATATTGCAGTATAATATAACTAGCAGATCCGGCCACACGTTGCTGTGGCTAAAGTTTTTGTTTCTAAATAACACGTGGCAGGCTATGCTAATAACAAAAATTAACAAAGTAACAACAATTGGATCTCACTGTATTGCGTTTACTACGAAATAAGTTTCACTTATGCTTCAGCCTTAGCAACACGTGGTGTTTATGCCATCAAATTGTAGCTTATGTGAAACGTTGATATTTTTAACACAGTGTCATCTATGAGATATTAATGTCAGATAGAATAGCAATTGTCTGTAAAAACTGATTTAAGGCACCATCTGTTTTAGACTTATGAAAATTACAAATAATAATAATAATTAATTAAGAAATATTGTGACCATTAATCGAAATAAAAACCATCCTATGGCCTAAGTTGGAATAAAACACATNTTATGTGAAACGTTGATATTTTTAACACAGTGTCATCTATGAGATATTAATGTCAGATAGAATAGCAATTGTCTGTAAAAACTGATTTAAGGCACCATCTGTTTTAGACTTATGAAAATTACAAATAATAATAATAATTAATTAAGAAATATTGTGACCATTAATCGAAATAAAAACCATCCTATGGCCTAAGTTGGAACAAAACACATATTTAAAAAAAAAGAAGTTAAAATCGGTTCAGTAGTTTAGGTGTCCATCGCAGACAAACAACGTGACACGTAATTTATATCTATTAAGATGTAAAACTGATGATTATTAGCTTGCTTTTCATTTACACAGCAACGCACCAATATATCGATATTATACTTTATAGGCTGGACAGTATCCCAGACAGCTTTTAACGAGAAAAATTATAAGCATTGCGTATTTTATAAATAAAAGTTTTAGGTTTTTAAAATTGAATTATAAATTGGAAACAATATCGATTGCACTCCAAAATCTAAGACGGGTGGAAACATTTTTAAATTATTTTCTTTAATGTTTTTCAAATGTAGTTTTATCTTAATTATTGAATTTGTACAACTACCCAAACACTATACACATTTTCAAATCACATAATCGAAAATAAAGAAAACTTACTGTCGTGTACATTTTGTTAAATCGATAAACCTTATTGACTTATCTATACGACCAAGACAATAGTGAACATGTTTGGCTTTAGTTCATTAGCTTATATAGAGGTTTAATGTGTGGGAATTAATAGAGCAAAAATCCATTGATCAATTTCTCAGGGTTTGTTAACAGCCCTAACGTAACGCCTAGGCATTCGGCTTGATCAGTCAATTAGCTTCTAATATGTAAGTATTTAGTATCATAAACTATGATTTATATTTCGTGAAATAATTAGTTTTATCGACCGAAAACCAAAGCGTGATTCCTGTTTTGGTTAATTACCTTGTATTTATTGTTGTTGTAATTTACTGAGGACACGTGTCGAAAACAAAGCAAGTTACTTAATTTTGTTTTTATTTGGTACAATTCTTAATGTTTTAAGTACGTGTGAATGATCTTGTTATGTAATTAAGCATAAAGAAATGTTATACTTTGCATGTAATATGTTTTAACGGCGACATTAATATAAGATTATACGCTGATTGCGCTGAGAGAAATTTTATAACTTAGAAGATTAACTTTTGTATCAAGTGATAAAATATGTATTTCTGTAATATTATACATATATATATATATATAAACCTTTCGTACATTGTTAGACATTTGTTTGGATGTTAATGTTTTTCTCTCTTTCTAGTATTACTGTGTTTGTACTTCGTTTTGAATTCATCGTCAGTTTTCGCTCAAAACAATATATAAATGTACATGTCTATTGATATTATAAATGTGAAATTCTGTATGTTTGAATGCTTGTGTTATGAAATTTATTTATTCACGCAAAAGGGCTGTTAATATTTGGATGAAAAATCTCACAAAAAGTTTTATAACCTAGATTAAGACACATGGTAAATGATATGTGCTGGCCATTTCTGAGATATGACAAATACGACAGTGTGCTTGCTGGTTCGCGATTTTACGTATCAACGGATTACAAATCGAGTGGTAGTTTATTGACCCGAAGGTGACACAAGCACCTCTTTATCCCGGTAAAATAGACTGTTTGATATTTTTTTTCTGAATTAGGAATCACACACAGGTGAAGCCGCATGGCGCTTCTAGTAGATACGAAATAAATGTTCTATATTCAAACGCTCTTGCTAGGGTTTTCTCAATCATACATACTCGACAGCAATAAAGACATTCCATCCCTAAACACCCAATATTTTTTACAAAGACAATGACATTCCGACTGGGAATAGAACACGAACCTATATGAGCGACTATGACTACTTACTCCCAGGTAGATAAAACGTAAGGTTTGTTTTCGGAGATAAAAAAATATCAAAGAGGATAAGTCCAGAAATATGTAATTTTTAGTTTGCATTTGTGTTGCCAACCTATTTGAATGTGTTTATGCCATAAGTATGTGTAATTAATTGAGAGGTGTTGCTCAATGTTAGTCATTGCATGTGAGAATGACAGCCGGGCACATAAAAACAAATACAATGAGACAAGTACATGCTTGTTCTTGGTTATGATGCAGGTTGAGCAACGCGAGCGCGGAACCACGGTAGCTGTTTTCATTGTTTATAAATAATGTAGAAAAATGGTGTTTCTCTGTTGAGCATTTAAGAAATAATATAGAAGACACTTTGGTCGTCTTATTTTTAAATAAGTGCCAATCTCAATTTCTGGGATCTTCAATTTTATACTGTATTTTATATATAAAGAAACCCTGGTAAATAATTTATTTTTTATTCATTAATATATTATTTCTAGTGTATGAAATAGTTTTTAACATATTTTAACACTGCTAATTTGTTAAGTTATTTTCAAAGTTTAGAGTTGTAATGTTGAAGGTAAGCTCGTTAAGGTTGTAATCATTCGTATTAATTTTGTCACCAAGCACCAGCGGCGTTTTGGCTTGAGACATAATTATACACATACATAATTATATATAACATAGGGCCATAACATAACCAACAACGTTTAAGATTAGCAATAACGTTTGAGAAAAGAGAAAACTTAGTGAGCTCATTACCACGAAATATGCATGATGCAGGAGTTTAAATGGGCTGAAGAAGGCTAAAGTCACTTACTAGAAGACAAGCACTTTCATTTTGCTTTAAGTTTTTAAGCAATCAGTAGCTGCACAGCCTCACAGACCTCATTTTGCTATCAGAAAATGTTCTGGGACGCAGTCCATTCCTATGGGTGTATAGATTCAACGTCGTTTACGTGGGAGCTCTCTTTATCGATTTCATTGAGATGTACGACAATATCTTTTACTAGGTACGGGCGAATCGGACAATGTTTTTTTTTTA